GCAGAGTGGAGGGAAAGTGAAGGAGAGGAAGACCTTTGGTGAGATGGATCGATTCTGTGACTAGAGCGGTGGGAATAAGTGCGTTTGAGATGGCTAGGTTGGCACAGGATAGAACAGCATTTAGAGCTCTTGTACATAGGGTCGCTATGAGTCGCAAGCGACTCGATGGCACATAACAACAACCATTTCTGACACATTTAATATTTGCTGCATTCACTGTGCCAATCTCTCTCTTTGAGGGTCTTCTGCTCTTTTATTGACCCTCTACATTTCTAGTATGATATCCTTTTCAAAGAAATAACTTCTAGCAACATGTCCAAAATACATGAAATAAAGCTTTATCATCTTTACCTCCAAGGAGCACTCTGGTTGCACTTTTTCGAAGACTTATCTAGCTGTTTTTTTTTGGCATGCCATAGGATATTCCAAGCTCTTTCCCAACACCACAGCTCAAATGCATCAATTCTTCTTCTGTCATCCTTATTCATTGTCCAGCTCTCAGATGCACAGCAAGTGACTGAAAAGATATGAACTGAATCAAGTGCACCTTGGTCCTCAAAAGATATTATTTCTCCTCAGTAATTTGAAGAGATCCTTAACAGCAGTCTTATACAAAGCAATGTATTTCTTTTTTTTTCTTTTTCATTGTTACGAATTTTTCCATTCATTGATTGGTGCACTTTTCTCCCTATACACCACCCCCAACAATGTATTTCTTAATCTCCTGATTGCTGTACCAAGGGGTTTGATTGTGAATCCACGTAATATTAAATTATTGGCAATTTTAACCTTTTCTCAGTCTATCATGGTGAGGATTTTTGTTTTCTTAATGTTGAGATGCAATCCATATAGAAGGTTGTTGCTTTTCATCTTCTGCAGCAAGTACTTCAAGTTTTCTTCACTTTCCATAAGCAAAGTCCTCTGCAGTAAGAGTTTGAAGTCCTCACTTTCAACAAACAAGGTCATGTCATCTTCATAGGACGGGTTGTTGGTAAGTTTTCATCCAATTCTGACACCACGTTCTTTTTCATGGAGTCCAGCTTCATACATTATTTGCTGAGTGCAGAGGTTGAATAGACATGAAGAAATGATACAACCCTGACATATATCTTTCCTGATTTTAAACCATGCAGTGTTCCCTTGAACGGTTCAGACAACAGCTTCTTGATTTAGGCATGTATTTTGCACAAGCACAATTAAATGTTCTGGGATTTCCATTATCTCAATTTTAGCCAATGTTTGTTATGATCCTCACAGTAAAATTCCTTTGCATAGTCAATAAAGCACAAATAGACATTCTTCTGGTATTCTCTGCTTTTAGCCAGGATCCATCTAATATCAGAAGTGATATCACTGGTGTCTTGGCCTCTTCTTAACCAAGGTTGAGCTTCTGGTAATTTTCTGCCAATATACTATTCTAGCTGTTTTTGGATAATCTTCAGCAATATTTTGCTTCCATGTAATACTAATGATATTGATTGATAATTTCCACATTCTATTGGAACATTTTTCTTGGAAATTGGGACAAATAAGGATTTCTTCTGGTCATTCAGTGAGTTAGCTGTCCCCCAAGTTTTCTGACATAGACTGACAAAAGCATCCCCTGCTGCATCTATTAGTTGAAACATGTCAATTGGTATCCCATCAATTCCTAAAGTCTTGTTTTTCCCCCAGTATCTTCAGTGTAGGTTCAACTTTTTCCTTCATTATCATTGGCTTTTGTTCATATGGTGCCTCCTTAAATTTTTCTGTGTCAACAAGTTCTTTTTGGCACCATAATTCTGTGTCTTCCTTCCATCTTCTTTTCCTGGGTCCTGCAATATTTTACCCATAGTATCTCTCAGTATGATTTAGAAAACCCAGTGAAGTAGAAAAAACAAGGGCTTTGTATTATTTATTCAATAAATAAGGAGGCAAGAGAGACAGGGGGGAAATGCAAACTAGGGAGATAGCCTGACAAGCTTCAATTGCTCCACAGCATATGGGAAAACATTGCACCTTCAGATCATAACATTAATATATTTATTTCCATACCCACTTAGAGCATATCCTCCAAATCAGTTATACAAAAGAAATATAAACCTTTGTTTTGTTGTTTTTATTTAGGGGTACAGGATAAATAATGGGAGAAAACTGGAAAACACTACCAAGGCTTCAGACCATTCAACAGATTCCTTGCATCCGAGTCCCACCTGCAACCTCAGATACTTCAATACTGAAGGTGCAGTATATCATTCACATATAGGATGGGTGTGTCTTTCCTTCAAAGCTTGTTAAGTATCAGTAGGCAAAATATTGGCTCAGTTCAGGCTTTTTCTTATGTTAAAAGAGTGTGTGAGTGAATGAACAAGGATTTGGAGAAATTTGTAACACCAAGGAGGCAATGATGGTATAGAGGGGGAATTTTCATATTTCATGTAGAAGACTCAGGTTCAATTTCCAGCCAATGTACCTCATTTGCAGCCACCACTCATTTGTAACTGAAGTCTTAGTGTTGCTATGATGGTACTAAACAGGTTTCCTTGGAGCTTCCAGGCTGCGATAGACTAGGAAAAAAGACAAACTGCTTCCAAAACCCAGCCACTAAGAGCTGTATGGGCTACAGCAGTTTGATCTACCAAGGATCCTGGGCTGGTGCAGGACCAGGAGATGCTTACTTCCATTGTGGATGAGGAGACATCATGAACCAGAGGCTAACCCAAAGGAAGTTAGCACACCAGCTCCTACATGAGTTCAGGGACTCTGGTAGCTGGTTGTCTCTTTGTTGGCGATGGGAAACACTACCACTGACAGGACACTATGTGACCCGTCTGTGGCTCCACTGTTGTGGGCAACATCTTTTGAGTTCTGTCAAACTGAGTTAAAGCCAATCTCATAAACACCATTTATGAAAACTCTAGTTCTCTCCCACCCCTTCAAGGAAGGATATGGATAGAATATTAGGAACATTACCCTTTACAGTTGATTGAGGAAATTGTGAGTTTTATGAGGGAAAGGATGTAAGAATATTTTACTTATAAAATAAAACCAAGACTTTTAAGGTTTTATCTCATGTTGCGAAAACTCTCATTTCACTTTGTAGGTTTTTCTTCCTTGAAACTGGCTTACACTTTTCAATTCCTACTTTTCTCTATCTGAAAAGGTCTGATTAGTTATTCAGGAATGAAATCCATTCTCTTCTTCAAATCAACTGTCACCTTTTAAAACATCTGATTCAGAAAATTTTAAGTTGAAGTAATGTCTCAAGTTGTGATGTACTTTGGTTTTGCTATTTTCAAACTGCATATATTTTTGTATAAGAATATTAAGTTTTTAGATCTAAAAAATAATCTGACACAGATTTTGCACATAATCTGCACACAAAATTGCTAATACGTCACTCACTTACCCTACTTCCATAATGTTGTTGTGTGCTGTCAAGTCACCAGTGACTCATAGCTACTCTATGTACAACAGCCCTAAACCCTGCTCTATCCCTTGTCAATCTTATTGTCTCTGACACACCTCCCCCCCACCCCATTACCCCAGTGACTGAATCAATCCATCTTATTGAGGGTCTTCCTCTGCTGCGCTATCCCTCAACCCTCCCAAGTTTATCTTAAATTGAACTTTTTATCCAGTGTCTTTGCTTGGTTAACACTAAGTTTTTAAATATTCTAGCTTTGTTTTAGATATTTTGGCTGAAAGTGAATTTGTTTTATCTTAATTTTTCTATAAATTGATGTTCCTATCTAATTCTCTGTATTTTAAAAACGAGAAAATTCATTACTCATATCATAAAATCATGGGGATTTGGGAAATAATACATGCAAAATGTGTATAAAACATTTGCAATATTTTAGGCAATATTAACTGCATCCTAAGCTTTTCTCATTCATTTCTAACATTCTGGCAGGAGCTTTCAAATGACCTCTGCTCTGTCTTTACTTAAGACTATTATCCACAGTAGGGCCAGCAAAATCTTTCTAAAATGCAAATCCTGTCAGTTTAATAGAGACTTTCTCATTGCACTGTTATTAACTTATATAGCCAGATTATTATTTGTTGTAAGGGATTGGGGTTTCTCCTGCATGTTGTAGGATATTTAGTAGCATGTCTTGCCTCTACCAACTAAATGTTGTTAGTACCCATTCCCTTCCTGTGATAATAAAATATGTCTCTGGAGATGGCCAAATAAGTATCTCTTGTGGACAAAACTATTCCCTTCTCCATTGAAAGCCACTCCCTGAAATCTAAAAAGTGGTCTTGAAGCCCTCATTTACCATAAAATATCACCTTGATTTGCCCACACCTTACTGTATTGTCAGAATCTATGGAGAAGAATGTGATATCAGAATCAGAAGACAATTCATCAACATTATATAGATGATTATATCAACATTATATAGGTGATATAACTTTGTTTGCTGAAAATGAGGAGCACCTGAAGTGCTTACTGCAGAAGAACAAAGACTACAGCCTTCAATATTGATTACATCTCAGCATTATGGAAACAGAGGTCTTTACTACTACATCAATAGGCAACATCATAATAAGTGGAGAAAGGATTGAAACTCTTAATGATTTAATTTTACTTAGATCCACAATTAATAGCACTGCTTGCTACCAGCAGCAGGAGATCAGGAAACATATTTTACTGGAAAATCAACAGTCAGGGGCCTTTACAGAACATTGAAGAACAACGATGTTAGTTTGAAGACTAAGGTGTGCATGATTCAGGCAACAGTCTTTTCAGTCATTTGCTATACATCTGAATAGCTGGACAATGAATAAGGATGGCAGAAGAATTGATGTCTTTGATTTATGGTACTGGAGAAGGGTACCGATGTCTTGGAAATGGTGCAGCCATTGTGCTCCTTGAAGGCAAGGGTGGTGAAGCTTCATCTCTCATACTTTGGGCATGTTGTTAGGAAAGGCTATTCCTTGGGAAAGGATATCAGGCTTGGAAAAGTGGAGGGTCAGTGAAAGAGAAGAAGACTTTCAACAAGATGGATTGACATGGTAACTATGGAAATGGGCTTAAGTGTATCAGTGCTGTGAGAAGGGCTTGAGATAGGACAGGATTCAGGTCTGTTGTTCATAGGATCACTATGAGTCATACTTGACTTCATGGTATCTAACAACAGATCCTCTACAACTGAGATTCTATGGTGTAGTTGAACTGAAAGAAAAGTCTGTTTCCCATAATATTCACATATATTTTACCCTATAAGATTATTTGTACCTGTTTCTTCTTCTGTCTATAATTAGCCTTTTCTTTTTCTTTTTCTTTCAGTCCAGTTCTCAATGCATGTATGCATCAGCATCACTTTGGGGGCTTTTAAAAACCCAGAGTCTCACCCTCAATGATTCTGATTCTGTAGATTTGGAGTGGGCTTGAGAATTTGTGTTGTTTCAAGATATTTCCAACATGGCAAGTCAGGTACAATGGTTCATACCCTTGACCACCAATCAAAAGGTTTGAGTCCTCTAAGAGATACCTCAGAAGAAAAGTCTGCTGATTTGCTTCCAAAACATCAACCATTGCAAACCCTACAGAACAGAGCACTACTGACATGCATGGGTCACCTTGAATAAAAATCTAATCAACAGCAGCTGGTTTTAAATCTAATCCTTCAGGGAATTCATCCTCATACTGTAAGACTTAGAGCAAGAGTGGCCATTTCCATTCTAAAGCTACCTTTGACTACCACAAGCCAAGACTGTTTTTCTTCTCTATTTTCACAGTACTTGTATACTAAAGATGTGAAACACTTATCAGATTACCTACCTGTTGTTGTTGTTCAATGCCATCAAATCATAGATGATTCATAGTAACCCTATGAACTTAAGTCCTGAAAACGGATAACTTTCATCATTTCTCTAAGTTCATAGAGTTGCCAGAGACAAGCTATTTTGGAAGTGGATGCCACTCCAGCTTCCAAGCTTCTTTTAATTTGAGAGGTCTGTCAACCACTGTCCATCATTGGCAACCATTATCACATTTGACACATAAGTGTCACAGTGTACACCATACCACTCACCCTACAGCAAACTGAGAGACCAGTGCTATACTATTTAGAAGAATGTTTAACTGAAAGCAATTAAAACCAAGCCTGAGGCTCACATCCAATTGTGAGCAACAGACCACATCCAAACCTCAACCCAAACAGAAAACACACCTTTGTAGAATCTAGCTGCTCCACAAACTTTAAAGCATCCCAATGCCTTTCATTTATAATTCTCAGCTCATTGAGAATTCTCTGTTAAAGGAACTCTTACCCACTATGAAAACAATTCTGCCCTCCACTAACTCAGTAATGGGGAATAACCCCCATTTACAACACAAAATGGATTTTACTAGGCCGGTCACGTTCTCCATGCTCCAGTACCTACTTCTATCAATTCTAACACCAATCTTCTCTGAGGGGTCTCATTGCTCTACTACAGAGTCTACTAATTTGTTGCAATGATCACACAAAACTTATAGGTCTCAATCATCTTTACAGAAATTTTTTTAAGGAAGTAAATACTGTAATTCAAATTGGAAACAAGATACAATTCTTCAGTTGGGGAGGCTTCTCAGGTGTTCAAATACCCTTTGGCCTCAGCCTTGTGGCATTAGACTAGGGTTACAAAACTCTCTTAGTTTTGCCAATTATGAAATCTCCCTCATTCCTCAGCAAGCAAAAGCTCTTGGTTCTGGCTCTGGTTCCATGAGGCATTAGTCTAAATTGAACTCTGTCTTGTGTCAAGTCTCTGCTTCTTCTCTGCTACTGTTACTCTTGTCTAGGTTTCAGTCTGACTGGCATGGGAATCCCTGGTTCAAACTGACACAATGGTGTACTCTAAATGTCTTGTATGTTCTCACTGAAAAAGGTGAACACTGCTTTGTTTAAAAATCAAGAATGGAGTGTGTCACGGATATATCCTTTCTCCATACATTTTCAATCTATATGTTGAACAGATCATTCAAGGTGAACTTTATGAAAAAGAACGTGGCATTAGGATTAGAGGAAGACTCATCAACAGTCTGCATTATGCAGATTCAACCCTGCTCCCTGAAGCAGAGGAGAAATATAAGTGCTTGCTGCAGAAGATCAAGGACTGTAAACTTCAAAATGGATTACATCTCAACACCAAAAAAACAAGAATCATCACCACTGGGCCAATAGGCAGCAAGCATCATGATGGATGGAGAAAAGACTGAAGTTGATGATTTTGTCTTGCTCAGATCCACAATCAACATTGTTGGCATCAGCCATCAGGAAATCAAAAGATAAGATGCTGTGGTAAAATCTGCTGTCAAAGACCTATCTAGAATGCTAAAGAGCAATGATGTCAGACTAAAGACCAAGGTGCATATGATCTAAATCATGATCTTCTCATTTGCTTGCTATGCATCTGAGAGTTTGACAATGTCCAAGGATTGCAGAAGAATTGATGCATTGAGCTGTGGTGCTGGAAAAGAGCATTGAACCATGGACTATCAAGAGAACAAAGTGATATGTCCTGAAGAGGTTAAAACCAGTTGCTCCTTGGAGGCAAGAATCTTGAAGCTCCACCTCATATATGTTGCCATGTTTTCAGCAGGGGCATCATACTTGGAAGGGAAGAGGGTCAGCATAGAAAAGTAAGACCTGGATGAGATGGATTGACAGTGACTGTGGAATGGAATGAAGTGTGTTGGAATCAGTAAGGTTGGTTCGGGATAAGGCAAGCTTGAGAGCCATTTTAAATATGGTTGCTATGAGTCACAGTCAATTTGATGGCATGTAACAATATCAATCAACTCTGGATGCTCTAGTGCAATTTTCCTAGTCTCTTCTGACATCCACATGGGCCTTTGGTTTTTCCTTTGTCTTCGTAATGACCTAATGACCTTTTGTCCTTTTTATGAATGTCATCCTTGATGGCATCCCAAATTTTATATGGCCTTTGTTCATTAGTTTTCAGTGATTCAATTCTATTCTTGAAATGATTTTTACATTAAAGCTGGGTTTTGAAGAGGTTGTGACACCAGGGATATTACTGCTGATGCCAGATGGATCTTGATTATAAGCAGAGAATACCAAATGATGTCTATTTGTGTTTCTTTGACTATGCAAAGGTATTTAACTGTGTGGACCATTACCAAGTATGCCTGACATTGAGAAGTTGGGAATCCCAGAACACTTCACTGTGCTCATGTGGAAACTATACATAGATCAAGAGGTTTTTGTGTGAATAGAGCAAGGGAACACTGTATGGTTTAAAATCAAAGAAGGTGCATATATTCTTTTTAAATATCCATTGAATCTGTATGCTGAGCAAATGATTAGAGACTCTAGACTCTATGAAGAAAATGTAGCAACAGGATGAGAAGAAAAAATATCAGTAACTTATGCAGATGAAATGATTTTGCTTGTTGAAAGTGAGGAGGACTTGCTACAGAAGATCGAAGACTACAATCTTCAACATGGATTATATCTCAACTTCAAGAAGACAAAATTCCTTACCACTGGGTTGATAGGTGACATCATAATAGATGGAGAAAAGATTGAAATTATCAATGATTTCATCTTACTTTAACCCAGTCAATACCCTTGCTACTAGCAGTTAAGAAAGCAAAAGATTTCTTAATTTTTTTTTCCTTTTTGTAAAGTCTGCTGTCAGGACCTCTCCAAATTATTGAGGAATAATGATGTCCCTTTAAAAACTAAGGTTATTTGATTCAGGCCATGGTTGTTTCAATCTCTTGCTCTACACCTGAGAGCAAGACAGCAAAGAAGGGTGGTAGATGGAGAATTGATGGCTTTGAGCCGTGGTGGGAAAGAACACTGAATATCCTATAGAAGAGTGTGCCTTAGAAGCAAAAGATGGAGAAGCTCCATGTAACATACTTTGCGCATGCTTGGGAAGGTCAGTCAAAGAAAGGAAGACCCGCAATGAGATGGACTGACAAGGTGACTGCAGCCGTGGCTTTAAGTCTATCAGAGATTAAGAGAATGGCACAGGATAGGACAGGATTCAGATCTGTTGTTCAAAGGGTCCCGTTGAGTTGTACTTGATTCAACAGCACCTAACAATGACAACAGTATAATATATATATACAGATACTCTGCTGGCCCAATGGGTAAGTAGTTTTGTTGCCAAGCAAAGGAAGGCAATTCAAATTTGTGAGTTTCTCCTCAGGAAAAAAGATGAACATTCTCTTTCTATGTGATATATAGTCTCTGAAAATCTGCTGGAGTATCATCTATGAATTGGTTCCAATTCAGTGGCTTGAATGAGAGAGTGACAGTGATACACACTCACACACACACACACACACACACACACCTAGGAATCCAACTTATACCCAGACTGCAGGTCCCTCACCCTTGTTCATTGTGTGTGTGTGTGTGTGTGTGTGTGTGTAAGGAGTTCTGGTGGTCTAGTGGTAAGGAACTGTGCTACAATCCCAGAAGCACATGGGTTGAATTCACCAGCTACTCTTTAGGAGAAAGATGGGCAATCTCTTCCTGTGTGATCAAATTGCCCCTGAAAACCCTCTGGAGGGTCAGTTATGGGTCGATTCTAACACAACATAATATTTATGCATGTGTATGTGTCAATGCACACAGAAACACACTTGTAGAGAGCTCAGGTGACCTAGTGGTAAGGAGTCGTGCTGCCAAGCCAAAGGCATGTGATTCAAACATCCCAGCTGCTCTATGGGCAACCTCCTCCAGATGATAGACAGCCCCTGGAAGCTAGCTGAAGGGTCAGCTATGAGTTGCGATAAGTCCTCCTCACTTTCAACAAGCAAAATCATTTCATCTGCATAAGTTACTGATATGTTTTCTTCTCATCCTGATGCTACATTTTCTTCATACAGTCTAAACACATGTCTTTGTAGAACTTTCCTGGAGGCAATCAGGAATTGGCAAGCCGAACTAATGGGTAAACAGCAACAAGCAAAGGGCTCTCTGTGCAATTCCAATCCACCACCACACAGCTGAAGCATTCTTTCACACACACTGCTATATATATATTTACTTACTTGGGGGATTCTTTCTTAAAGAATAAATTTTTGTATTGATTTGCTTACAAAGTTTGTGTACATTGTTTTTCACACCGTTTACATATTAGTTTTTGTTGTTAGTTAACATGATTCATGGTGATGTCATGGCCAACAAAAACCCAAATACTGCTATGTCTTGTGCCATTCCTAAAATCATTAGTAGGCTCATACCATGTGCATTCTCAATGACTGCCAACCTAAAGGTTGTTCTTTCAGCATTGTATTAGAGGATGTTTTGTTGTGTTCTGTGGGGGTTACATTGTCTGCTTTTCTGAACCAGGTCACCAAGTCTTGCCTCTTTGTCTTAATCTACAAGCTAAGATTAGTTGACTTGTCATAAACTAACAACTACAGATCCTTAGTGAAGTGTTGAGCTGATAACCAAAGTTTAGCAGTTCAAACCCACTCAGTGGCTCCACTGGAAAAAGACTTGGCCACCTGTTTTCTTAACGATTATATATAGCCAAGAAAATCCTATGAGATGGTTTCACTTCGTAACACATGACATCGTTCTGAGTGAGAAATAACAACATATAACACAAAATACATAACAGTAGTCACATTTCTGTAGAAGTCAGTTTTGCACACATCGTACATTTAATCTTAAATAATTCTGTAAACCCATAAAAAATCAACTGCTCTGCTCCAACAGAACCTGACCCTGGGCCAGCAGCGCTACTTCTCCAGCATCCTGAGGATTTACAGCTGTGGCCCTCTGTGGCAGGCCCTCCAGTTCCGTCATGTGCACAGCCTTCAGCACCAGCGGCTGCAAGGTGAGCTGAAGCCACCTGATGTGAGTGAGCCAAGATCCTGGAGAAGGGGCTTGTATGGCGCAGCTGCAAATGAAGGTCTCAGTGAAATAATTCAGACGCAATGGCCTCTGTCAGAGTGCTATTTCATCAGCATGGTTGGCTGGCCAAGTTAAAAAATTATTATCCCTGACAGCAGAAAGCAAGGTTTATGGGTAAATTAAGAGGGCTTTAAGAAATTGGAGTATGAAGCGTAATAAAATGCTAACAACTCTCTGAGATTTATAGGAACTTGATGTAGCAAAAACAGGTAAGCACTTGGCTACTAATAAAAAAGTTGGAAGTTGGAAACCACCTAGAAATGCCATGAAAGAACTTCATCACCTGCTTGCACAAAATCAGTCACAGGAAAGCCTGTGGAGTCGAGTTGTGCACCAACACCCGCGCGTTTACCACGAGTCAGGCTGGCTCCAGGACAACTGGGTTTTGCTTTTGCTTTTTTATTGTATTTTTTTTGGGGGGGTTGTGTGTTTTGTTTGTTTGTTTTTAGGATAATGATACCTAGTAGAAATAGTTCTGAGCCTAGAAATCCAATCTACGTTCAGACTATAGCTCTGATTGTGTGAATGCAGAAGCTTGGTCAGTTCTCAATAATAAGCTATACAACAATTTGGAGAGGATAAAATTGATGAATGATGCCTTCTAAAGATTAAATCTGTGTGCTTAAAACACTTTTTCCAGTAGGGTGAAAAGAAAACCTACTGACTAGGGAAAACATTTGGCAATACCACCTAAAACAAGAGTCTCATAACAAAAGTTTAAGGAATACTATCCAGCCTCAAGAAGAAAAAGACTAACATCCCAATTATAAAATGGACAAAAGACATGCAAAGACTTTTCACAGAGGAAGACAATTAGATGGGCAATAGACACATGAAGAAATGTTCAAAATCACTGGCAAAAGAGAGATGCAGATCAAAATCATAATGAGATACCATCTCACCCCTGTAGCAATAGTAATGTTTAGCAGGGCAGCAAGCAATAAATGATGAAGAGGATTTGGGGAGTTAAGAACTCTCAAACACTGTTGATGGAATTGTAAAATAGTACAACTACTCTGGGAGGCAGTTTGGTGTTTCCTCAAAAAGTTGAACATAGAAATTCCATATGACCCAGCTACTCTACTACTAGGAATATATCCCAAGGAAATTAAAACTGAGACACAAATGGAGATTTGTACACCTATGTTCATAGCTGCATTCATCACCAGCACAAAAACTCGGAAACAGCCCAAATGTCCAACCAGAACTGAATGGACTGAGAAATAGTGGTACATTCACACAATGGAATACTATGCAGCACTCAAGAGAGACTGGAGAGCATTATGTGAGTGAACTCACTCAGTCTCATAAGAACAGATACTGCATGAGACAATTATTGGTAAAAATAGAATGATAACTAGTAAAACATGTATAGTGGTCCATCCAAGTGGGAGGAGTGGGAGTAGGAGCAGAGAGATGAGGACTGTGAAATCACAGTTGGACAATTTGATGGGTGAAGGGAGATAGTAAAAGAAATGGGAAAGATCGAGTGGGGACCTGAAAAGATAGGGTAATGGTGGGTGTAGTCCAATGGTGAATAATTTTATAAAACATAATTAATGGGAATGATTGTATGAAACACAATATGAATGTAGAATAGTATGGAACACAATGTATACAAACGTTGGGGTTTTGTTTAGTTTTGGTTTTAATTTTCTAAAAATTATTTTTAATTTTACAGAGATTTTTGGTTTCCATACATTCATTGTTGCATTTTTCCCTGCCCACCCCTCCCCCCAATTTCACTCTTCCCTTTGAAAAGTAAAAGAAAAATTATTTCATTGGTACAGAATTCCCACCCCCCACCCCCACCCTGAGTACACTCCACTATGCAACTTTCATTCTGGACTCTTGTCATAACCATAATATCCAATCATATATCACTTTCAAACAGTTCTCTCCCTCATCTATTTCAATACAGTATACATAATTTATCCATTTTTTCTCAGTCTCACCCCAACCCTGATGTCAGTCCCGTTCTACCATAGTGGTACCATGCAGCACCTGTTCTTTTGTGACTGAGATATTTCACTCAGCATAATGTCCTCCAAGGTCACCCATTTTGAATAATATTGCATGAGTTCCTTGTTTTTCAACGCAGCGTTGTATTCCATTGTGTGAATATACCACAGCTTCCACACCTTTCTCCATACACAAAAACCAACTCAAAATGGACCTAGGACTAAAACCAAGGACTATACATTTCATTAAAGGAAAGCTTGGAATAACTCTAGAAGTCTTAATCCACAACATAAACAGTCTTCTAAACATCCTGAAAATTCTACAACCAGGAGAGGATAAAATAGATGAATAGGACCTTCTAAGAATCAAATCCTTATGCACATCTAAAAACTTCTCCAACAGAGTAAAAAGGGAAGCCACAGATTGGGAAAAATATTTGGTAATGACATGTCAGATAAGGGACTTAATTTATGAAATAGTTGAGCACCACAACAAGATAGCGGTAAATAACCCAATTGAAAAATGGGCACAGGATATGAACAGACACTTCACCAAAGAAGACAACAAACGCATGAAGAAATGTTCAAAATCTCTAGCTCTAAGAGAGATGCAAATCAAAACAACTATGAGATATCATCTCCCCACAGTAAGAATAACAAAATTTAACAGAGCAGCAAATAACAAATGCTGGTGAGGTTGCAGAGAAACTGGAACCATTATTCACTGTTGGTGGAAGTGTAAAATGGTGCAACTGCTATAGAAGGCTGTATGGCGCTTTCTCAAAAAGTTGCAAATAGAAATACCATTTGATCCAGCAATTCCATTACTGGGAATATATCCTAAAGAAACCATAACTGCCACTCAGGCAGATATATGCACACAAATGTATACAAACTTTATAAGCAAACCAATATAAAAGAGAAATCTAAAAAAACAAGCTATACATATTGGATATTTACTGAGTCAGACATTGTGTTTGGAGCTCGACATACAGTCTTTCATTTTCTCCCAACCCTACAGCCATAGAAGTGCCTGGGTGATGAAAGTAGCTGAGTACTTAACTGCTAATCTAAAAGTTGATGGTTAGTATCTACCCAAAGGAACCTCACAAAAAATGCAAGACAATCTACTTATACAAAATCAACTACTGATTGAAAAGTCTAATGAGCATAGTTCTATTCTGACATGTGTGGGACTGACAGGAGTCAGGGATGACTTACAGGCAACTGATACGGCTTATTCATGTTGTTGTGGAGGTGGTTTTTCACTTGTTTTTGGTGGTGTGTGTGTGTGTGGTGTTTTTTTTTCCCCCCCAGACTGATAGAAATGGCCCTGGATTTAGGGAACCGGCCTAGGGTCAGATCAGTGCAGCCCCTTGCTGGCTGTGTGAACCCAGAGACTTGGGTCTATGTTTGCTATAAACAATAACAATTAAATGTTGAGCATTTACTATGTGTTGGAATCAATTTGGCAGCAACTGTGTTTTTTGCTTTTGAGGACCATGAGCCACCAGCCTCTGAGGACCATGGATTTTACCCTCAAGTTCCATCCTCTCCTATCAATATCATCAGATTTTGTGAAGCATTAGTGAAATAAGGGTTGTAAAAGCACTAGTAAATAATGTTTGTGACACACTAATAAAATAATGGTTGCAGAAGAATCACAGGCACTAACCTGCTAGGTGTAGCTGTGGTTCAATCTCTTTTCTTTTAGGAAATAGTTTTAGTCTCAAATCCCCTCTACTCTACTCTTCTCTAAACACAGAAAGAGATTCTTTTTAAACAGCTCCTTTGGCATTAAGATTAGCTAGTTTGTGTAGGTATGTCTGTGCTTAAGCTGGAGGAAGGCTGTTTTTGCAAATAAAAACTGTGAGCTTCCCTTGTGCCAGGCATTGTTTCAGTACTTTGCATGAAAGTATTGAAAATGTTCAAATTTCATTCAAAATCCTAACACCCCTATGTGGTAGGTGCTTTTATAATTCACCTTTTACAGAAGAGAAAATTGGTACATGGAGGAGTTCGCTAACTTGGCCAAGGTCACACAGTTAGTAAATGCACATGTCAGGTTCATCCGATCCCATGACTGTCTGAAATGTTGCCAAAGTGCCTAGTAGCTCTGCTGAATAAGTTTTCAGGTTGTGCTGTTATGTACCACTGAGTCAGAACTGACATATCTGACCTTTCATCAATTCTCAAAGGCCATAAATTGCATGGGAGAAAATTGCTCATCATTCTCTAATTCACATACAGCTAGTGAATTTGAACCTTTTGCCTTTGGGTTGATGGCACAACTCCTTAGCCACTATACCACTAGAACTAGAAGTCAAAAAGCCCCAGAAGCAGAGATACTGTTTTCCAGTTGTGAAGGTGATCCTGACTCACAGAGATCCTCTGTGTGTTAGAGAAGAACTCTATTTCATAGAGTTTCAAGGAGTGATTTTTCAGAAGTAGATTTCCAGGCCTTTCTTCTGAGGCGCCCTCTGGGTGGACTCATACCTCCAACCTTTCAGTTAGCAGCTAAGCACACTGAGTTAACATTTGCACTGCCCAGCAACTCCTATTCACATTTAGTATTGTGAGCCTTGTAGTCAATTCTAACTTCTAGTGACTCTATGGAATGTAATAGTCCTGCTCCATGAGATTAGATTATAATATTTATGAAATAATATTTTCAGATCTTTTCTACCACAGAGCCACTGTGAGTTGAAACTGCTAACCTTTTGAGTCAATGTTTACTGTTGTTAAGGGTCATCAAGTCAATTTCCACTCATAAAGACCCTATGAACATCAGATTTTAATCTTACCCTCTCCTGTGTCAGCCTCATAATCTCTGATAAGCCCCAGGTCATTGATATATCCGCTGGGTCAATCCATCTTGTTGTGAATCTGCTTTTCTTTCTCTGACCCTCTATCTTTCCCAGGATGAGGCATTCTTCCAAGGATTGGGCCCTCCTGACAATATAAATCACCAACATACCTTATTAAAATTCAGATTACAAGATTTTGCCTTGTAAGTATCTTGTTTAGATCTTTGGAGCAGATGCAGAGTCATTTTTAACAAACTTTCTAAAAATACCTTTGACGTCAGTGCAACGATTCTGCTGCAGGTGGTCTGTAGACTATGCTTTGTCTAGAAGCCCTGAAGCAGATCTAGCAAGTATGGTTCTCATTAGATGAAAGTTTTGATACTTAAACTATTCATATGTTTCCTCAAGACTCAAGTCCCTCCCCAAAGACTTTTTCACGTTAGTCAACGATGGAGTTTCAGTTTTAGTGAATGTTAAGTGTAAAGGGGGGGGGGGAACAACAAAAAACAACCAAACCACCCCACAGTCCCTGACTCCAAAGATCACACAACCATGAATCCCAAGGACAACAGTGATCCTTCATCATGCTGCAGGAGAAGAAATTGTGTACATGTATACAGATGGTTGTACTACCAACCCAAGGCAAGCAGTTTGAATTCATCAGTTCTCTGCAGGAGAAAGATGGGCACTTTCCCACTATGCGATTTACAGCCTCAGAAAACCCATTGGAGGGTCAGCTATGAGTTAGTTTTGAATTGATGGCATATGACAACAACATGTGAACGCTTACAATTTTGCTTACTTGTTTTGTAAAGTTATTGACAGTGATGCTACTCTCCTTTCCTCCTCTCAGGCTATCTTACTCATCAGGAAGCTCTGGCTTTTGCCACTTTACTGAAAAGGTCAGTGCTGAAGGCCTCAGCCAAGGCAGCCCCTCAAAGAGCCACCCTCCCTCGGAAGACCTCAGCAATGACAAGAAAGTCACCGCCAGCCCGCCCTGTGTCTTCATTTCCACCCACGTCCACAGTGTGGGGCTCTGACCTAGTGGGAAGCAGGGTTTGGGTGGGCCCAAAGCAGGTGGTTACTTACTGTCCAGTGAGCTCTGATCCATGGTGACCCATGAAAAATCCAGTTAGCCATTACCCAGTCCTTCATCCTCCTGACTGATATGAACCCTCTTCTTCATTTTCAATTTTTAATGTAATTTGAGTAAAAGTTTACAAAGTGTTTGGTTTTTCATTGAGTCATTCACAAATGTTTGTTCTTTTATCACATTAATTATAATAGCCACGATCTCTTATCCTCTCCTTTTTGTATATCACTTTTCCATACACTCATCTTAATAAAGATTTATGAATTAATTTTTCCATCCTACCTTCTCATCTCTAGTACCATGACCCCTTCTAAACCCAGCCTGGACTTTTGGTAGCTCTCTGTTGATGTGCTGTTCCAGTCATTTTTGGATAATCTTCAGTAAAATCTTGCTTGCATGTGAAATCAGGGCTGAAAGCAGGGAATACCAGAGGAATGTCTATCTGTGTTTCATTGACTATGCAAAGGCATTTGACTTTGTGGATCAAAGCAAACTATGGTTG